AATCGAATATTTTGTACTTAAATATATATTTAATTCAACAATTGTTATATTCTTTTCTTATTATTATTATTAAAAATTATTTATCTTACTATTAGCTTTATCATATATATGTATATGAAATGTATTAATTCTCATTAACATTTTGATATCTACTAAAAATGTAATAATTTACCTTAGCAAAAAGTTATACACGGTTTTGTACTCGTAAAAAATACACCTCTATTTCAGTACTTAATGGTAAAACATGACAGTAAACCTTTTAAGTGGATAAACGCTGCTATTATATTTGAACTCTCTAAAATTTGGTGTTTTTTTTTATACATTGAAAGAATGCTTCTGGAACAATAAAATCATTTTTTTACGAACCAAATATGTATATATATATATGACTATGAATTTAATAAATATTAATTTTTTATCACCAGAAAAAAAAATGAAATAAAAATAAACATTAATTGAACAGAATAAAAATAAAAGATTAATTAATATTGTCATACGTTTATATATTATACGATATGTACGTATGTGTGCGTGTGCGTGTAATTCATGTTTTTTCACGGTCTGGCTCGGCGTTTTTTGATCCAAGCAAAACTCATTGAAACTATAATCGCATACTCAAAACTTTGACGTTTTTTTCTTATTCCCGTCTATCCTATACGATTCGAGTATAATTGATGCAGTATAAAATTAACGACCGACGAAACAATGGAATTCTTGATTATCATATGTTCCGATGTTCGTGTATAATAGTAATACAGATCTATCTCTCTCTCTTTCTCTCTCTATCTGTTTATATATATATATATATATATCACTTTATTTCCATTTCTATCTGGCATGTATGCAACATTCATAAAAGATATAAAAAATAATAATAATAATACATTTGAGTCCAACGAAATATATCCGACGCAATATTTACCGATCGTTATAATCGTATTATTTTTTTTTCAGTTTTTAATTTTTTCTTCGGCCGTTTAAACGATATAATAATAACAATAATGAATGCGTACCAAGTCCCCTCACTCTTTAAAACGTGCCGTCTGGTAATTAAATGACATAGCCTCTGTCAAGAATATTTCGGAGTGTATTCTATGGGCGCACACAAGGGTTTATAAAATTATTTTTTTGGCTTATATAAATTTTATAAACTGGTTAACTTTTTTTCTTTTAATAATATCCCCCCTTTTTGTATTTAAATTATATATCTTTCAATATTCTGAGTTTTGAAAAATGTTAATGTCCTAAAAATAATATTTCCCTACACATAGATTTGTTGTACCTATGTTAATAACAAATTTTATTTTTCTTAAAAAAATACTATTTTATGCATAAATAATAATTCATTTTATTATTAAGTAATCTTTGGTGTAATAAAGATATAGTTAATATTTAAATCATTACTTTTGGATTCGCACAAATTTAATATTTCATCAAAAAATTGTAAAATAATTGGAATATTGATATAGTTTTCTTTATGCGTCGTAGCTTCAAAATTATATATATAAAATCATATATTCATATACATAAATAATTAAAAAAATATAGACTTATTCTAAGTTTTTATTAGAAAATGTAATCCATAAATAAATTTTTTTTAAAAAAAACATGATAATTTGACGTTTAGATTAAAATAGGACGTTGTACGAGCAAATTATATTCAGTTTTTTATAATTAAATTTGAATAGCTTTAAAAGTTCCTGTTCAAATTTTGATTAACTTATATACGAGTACATTTAAATTCCAGAAAACTCAATTAAATTATTATTTATGCAATAAAAAAAGTGTTTTTATTTGAAAAACAAAATTTAATTTTACCATTAAGTAATTCTTAATAGATAAAGGAAATCTATGCTTTAGGAAATGTAGTCGATTGGTGTACAGATAATTAGGTATTAATAATCAGATTTTGAAAGATAATTTAAGGACAATAAAAGGGTAATCATACTTAAAAATCATTTTGTATTTATATATTTAAGATACTCCTTTTGATGTTTTTACAACAACGGTATCGCGCATGCAAACAATGTGAAAAGTGGTACGTTTTCTTTTCATCTTGCAGTTTACGCCACCGGGCATCATAGATACACCATTACACATCTGTGGCGGAAGATAGGTACGGGGGTGGTTTTAAATTATTGTATTTTCGTCTTTGAGAATTTGCTTTTGTACGCGCACCGAACGTTATATCGAGAGGCAAGATAAAACGGCATATGGTTTAGACCGTCCTGATTAAGTTTTACCTCATAACGCATCCGTGTGCTGAACTTAAGAGAACTTTTAACACAGGTCAACTTGTAAAAGCATCACACCATTTACTGCACGTGTGGATTGAATCATATTGTAATATGTATCATGGAGTTCGTAAAATTTTCCTTGGCGCACCTAATTAATTAACCCTGTTAATCTTTCACAGACGAGTAACTTCGAAGGATGTGAGGGAGGGGGATTAACAACTATATCACAAGAATCATTTTAACAGCAGGTATGATGTTTTATACACCGACCGATGGGTTTTATCAATGCTTATCTCTAAACCTATACCTATGATTGGGTACTATAATTGGTATTATAATAAAGTCTCGTATTCCGCGAACGACAAAAAATACAATATCTTTAAAAAGTTATATATTCAGTCGATAAGAAATATGGTTAAAAAAAATAATCCGTAACCTTTTAATATTTCATAACGTATACACGCGTATGTATAATTATTTTATTCCTTTCTGCGAAGCCAAGTTCTGTCGATTTATTTTACATAAACAAGCAACTGCTATTACTGTTAATGTTTATGGTTAGAATTGATTTTTGTGAATCAAATTATACGTCTCGTCCCGGCCTTCAGCGTATACGAATTGCTGTTCGTCTTTCGACAGTAATTTGTAATTATGATGACCCGTAATACACGTTTGCATACGAAACGATTGTAAAATTAAAAAAAAAAAAAAAAGAAAACATGTGCATGTAAACGAAAAATAACGTCAAATGTGATAGCATGTACACCTTTATCATAAACGCACCAAGATCGTCCGCCTTTTCGATGTTGCGAATTACGATTGTTGTTCTCATAAAACAATTAATTACAATTATACGGTTCTCGCATGCTCTCGAAGCAGTTATAAAACCGCAGAGTCGTAATCGTCAAACGAAAAACCCGTGAGCGTATATTTCGTTTAATTTTCAACAATTCGTAAACACTTTGGATTTGCATTTAATTTCAATACGATTATTAATTTATCGATCCACAAAAACCGCATTTTATGTTGTTTCGTTGAATGATATGCCCATGATTTAATAATATTGCTGTCGTTAAAAAACAATAACCATTATAAAATCGCGTAAGATCTATAAAATATTTTGTACGACTATAACATTATTTACTATACATTTATTACACAAAAACCAGGCACGCGACCAGGATTTTTGTTCGAGGAGGATCACCAATTTTTCATATTTTTTTTTATATACAAGTAAACAATAATCATTAATTTTTAAATAATCACTTTTTTTTTTTTTATTATTATTATTATTATTTTTACCACATAATACATAGTAATCAATAGTACATTGAATACACTAGAATCCATAAATCTAAAAATAATTTTCAATGAAATAATCGATCGGCGATTGACACAAACACAAACAAGTTATCATATACTATTTTATTGAAATATAAATGTGTATCAAATATAATAATAATAATAATAATAAAATAAATAAATAAAAATAATCATTCATCATAGTAATAATTATTATTTGTGATAAAACAACAAGCTATAGTAATATATAATAATCGAATAAACAAAAAAAATTGTTGGGGGGGGATTTCAAATCCAAAGCCCTCCTAGATATGCTGATACTACGCAGGTATTACTTAAGGAGTGATTATGTTTTCAAACAGAAAAATTTCAAATCTTCAAGCTCAGGATCAGGAGAAAATTCAAATAAGTTATCACCATTCATAACGATAATAATTAATGGAAATCATAGATTGAAAAAATCCAACTGTACCCATTAAACACGGATTCAAGATTAGCTCATACATCCATTAATAAGAGAGAAAAATGATTGGACCAAAAATCTGGAGTATAAACTATTGAATTGTTAAATATATATTTGGTGTGTCATCAAAGCAAATAAAAAACGAATACAAGAAATTCAACTCAAAAAAGTCTTAAAAGATAATTTCAAATTAAATAATGCAAAAAGATTTACACACATATTTTGTAATTTGATTTTTAGATAATGTCTTCGAAGACACAAAAAATGAAATGTGTAATCAGTGTAGAATGTGGGTTTTTTAGTTTAAAAACCGCTAATAATAAAATACATGGAAACAATGTTCGTATACTCTGTTAATTGTTTTTGAAATTATTATAATGTTACTTGTAGTAAAATATTTCGATGAAATCGATGAATCGTATATAAATGTACATTAAACTAGAAATCTATCAGCGTAATCAATGTTTAACGAACAGTATTGAAAAATCCATGTTAACTTTATAAATAATTTTGTATCGTTGTTGCGATGGTAAAACAGGCGTAATTTTAATTTTGTACCACTCGAAAACGAGATGGTGCGTAGGAACACGTAGTGTTTTATACCGTTTAACAGCGGTATTGTTTGTTTTTTAGCATTAGCGAAGAAGGCGCAAAAGTATATAAAAAACGAATAACATATTTTGTTTTCATTAAACGCGCTAATATACTACGCTTATTATGTCCATTAAAGAAACACGAATCCGCTCCCACGATACTATACGCGTAAGTAATGTTCGCAGTGAAATCATGACTATTACTTCTCGATTCGTATAATAAATGAATGCAGGCATTATACTACATGTGGCGCACAGACAGCGGTGTCTTGGGCTGCAGTAGAAATAATTGTATAATGCGGTCTGTGCTTGGTTGTCGTTTGGAAGTAATGGGTGGTATTTTTTTTCATGCTCGGCGATATCAGTTTGAAGGTGTCCCTCTCAAATGGCAGTCTTCGTCGCGATCCGGCGCGTAACACACAATCATCGGAGACTTGAATAGTTACAACTCGATCTTGGCGACATATTGAGTACCAATTAAATAATAATATAATCAATGTAATTAAACTTCTATACAAACCATTATAAGTAACACGCTTCCGGCTAACCCACGATAAGATAATTTGCATTAATCGATTTATTTTATTTTTATTTCGGTAGGTTGTTTCGTTGCAAGTTAAAAACCAGTGACGTGATATAATTATAAAATAATTGAACATTCGTGTAGTACACTGCAGTGTACCGCAACAGTGAGGAGTATTATCCGGAAAGGTTTAAAACATTGTATGTTATTATTGTTGTAGCAAAGAAAAACGTTTTGAAAAATAATACCTAACATCACTTTTATTCTAAACACACCGATAACGGTTACTCGTCGTGATGAATTATTACATAGCCGTCTATAACCAGTCGAACAGCATTATTAACAAACTATTTTTATGTTTTAGCAAAGCGATGTCAAGACAAAATGCAATTGGAACCAAAAACGATTTTAAAAAATCTATTAAATTTCAAAATAGGGGATGATGATACAATATTTCGTCAGTATCAGCAAAAAAAAAAAAAAATGGAGACTATCCGGATATATGAATTTGCTTTTTATAAAACTTATAATTATTTTGATGTCTAGTAGAACAAATTATTTTATTGTAACAACAAATTAAAGATTTTATGAATCTCAGAATAATTATCAAAACTGATATAATATAATATAATATATTGGTATAATTTATTATTAGTTACCAAAATAACAGTTTATTAAATTATTGAATTTATTTTATACTTCTATTTAACTTAATTTAACTGCATAACCTTTGAATAGTTATTTAATAAATATATTTTTCTGAAGATAAGTTCAATTTATATTACAAAATCATATATGAATGATAAAATAATAATTGTTATCCTATTTAAACGGATAAATTATTTTACAATTATGAAATAAAAATCTGAGTTTTTGAACAGTAAAATTATAAAAAATAATCCGGAAAAATCTGAATAATTCGAATTTGTCAAATCTGGATATGCTCATCACTTATGCGAACTTTTATAAATTTAGTGAATGCCAATGGCCATAAACGCCGAGACTTATTTATTAAAAAAAAAAAATTTAAAAAAAAATAGTTACCAACATTGAAATAAAAAACTCACGAGTAAACTTGTCAATTTTTTACAGTTACGTTGTTGCCTTTAAATTATTTTCATTGTTTCGTTAAATGATGTATAAAACAATAGGATACAGAAAAAAACCCTAATAATAATAATAATATTGCCCTCGATATAATCTACGTACGATATGTTTACAGTTGATGAACATCATAATAAATTTAAAATTAAACAAAAAATGGCTTTTGTATACGTAAGTATATGTATGTGAGTTATAACTAACTCGAAAAGTTTTGATTTTGATTAATGATCTTTTGTTATTCATTTTGATTTGAAATAAATTTATTTTGATATGAAATCTGTTTAATTAATTTGTCACTCGTCCAGCAGGTTAGCACAATTATTGATCACAAGTATTCACATGGTTTTTTGTAATTCAACTGACAACACTGCAACTGCTTATCTCCCACAGTGTATGTAAATGAATGGCTGCACGATTCTATTTTGTGCATTCGTCGAAATGCAGTTGGGTTTCATTATAAGGGTTATAATATAAATTTTTTTTTTTTTTTATATAAATCGAACTCCGAGTACGCCATATCGGTTGACAGAGTGAACTACTATACTATAGAGAATATAATTCGCAATATTATTCGTGTCGGATCGGATATCGTATTTTAATTATCGCATTCCGACCAGGAGATTTGAACGAGAACAAGAACAATGTCCAACGCGTACTTTGCGCTACGGAGGCGATTTAAATCGAATTATTTCCACGACCGCTTTCAACGTAATTGACCGAGGTTTGGTACCGACATGGTATTAAAAATACGCATAAACGAACGTGAACCACACAATTCAATTCCTATTTTCCATGCGCGACAGGTAACGTTGTTTTCCGCTTCGAGACGCTGCGGTGTTTCCGATCCGTAGATTTTTCTCCGATTTTTCATTACGACCGATAATACTGACGACTCCTGTTGCTGTGACGCCGCGGCGCTCTCGTTTGCACTCGGACGTTTACCGCGACCAGCCGTATCGCCGCCGACCATCGATTTTATTCTATCACATCATTACGCGTTATCGATCGATTACAATAAAACCGTTTTCGCGTTTATAATATTGTGGCGCGCTCCGTCCTATTACTTAATATTATTATATTCGCCCAACAACCGGCGGCGTGTTTTCCTCGGTTGATGGTTTTATTTCTCGTCCCGCGTCTATCTACGCGTCTGCTCGCGATTCCGTTTTGTGAAACGCACGCGATTACTTATGAATTGGTACGTATTTAAACCCCGCATTATCGATCCAAATATCAGAAAAACGTATCAAAACTTATCGATAGACCGCGCAACGTTCACAAAGCCGATTTACTGTATCGATATATTAACACTCGTCGTAATAATTATAATAATAATAGTAATTAGGTTAATACGCTCCGGACATTAGATCGGTTATTTTTCGTATGGAATAAAACGTAATTCCTTACAGTACAATACCCACACGAAAAAAATATATATATAATATATTATGCTCCGCGTTATTAACATAAGCAGTTTAATTCATCGCGAGAGCGTTTTCACGATTTAATATATATATGTACCTATTTTTTTACTTACTTAAATTATTTTTTTCTACTTCGTTTCGAAATCGTTTACCGCACGTGTTGCAACGTCTCTCCGACGAGGATGTAGTTGGTAGCGGTTGCATTTGATTTTCATGCGGTGCGCATCGCGTGCGTTTTACGACGATTTCGGCTGTTGATCGAACGAAACTCGACGGTTTTATACATGGTAATTTGTAATAAAACCATACAAATTTGTGTTTTTTATCTATATATTTACGCGTACAAAACGGTTGTAATAACGCACTGGATATTATAAGGACATCAGTGCAAAAACATCGCCTCGCGTCATTCCCGTTCGTTTCCCTTAACTCGAACGGACAATTTCATTTGTAATAATTTGGGAGAAGGACGACGACGACGACGACGACGATGACGACGGTGGTAGCAGTCGTGGCGGCGGCGATGGCTATGGCGACGATTCGTACAGACGGATATCCCGTGACATGATGGATTAGACAACGTCATAAGCCGGGGTTGCTGCTGTTAGTCGTGGAAAAACAACAACGCGGGTAATTAACTGTTGATTTACGCCGTTGGCACATTCGGAGATTGAGTGAGAACTATACGCGCGCGGAGAGGGAATTGAAACTTGCTGGGTAATTTATCACGTCCGCACGTTCGTAAAATTAAAAAATTATATATATATATACAATACACTATTTGATTAAAAAATAGAGAGAGACGAAAAAAAATAAAAACATCCTTTTCCTTCGTCCATTAGTTTATTATTATTATTTTTTTTTATCCATCGAACATTGAGATCTAATAATATTTCCGGTTTATAATTTTTTTTAATCGACCTGCGAGTAAACAATTCCACGAACGCGTACGATTTGGTAAAAGTAAAAGTATGTCCGTCCATAAATTAAAATCTATTTTAAATAATTGTTCATTTATTTATGCGATTGTCTAATTTTAATGCTGTAAGTGCGATGCGCTCATTCTTTATTTTATTAGTTCGGTTTAAAATGCTTTTATTTTTTAAAAATCAAAATAAACATTTAGAACGCAACTGTGAAATATCAAAAAACCATATAAAATATTTATCGACTGTATATGTAATATTGAAATAAATACTAAACGTTTTATTACTTTTCTACGGTACGCGGTTTTAAAGCACTACATTCAAAATAACAAACGATGGAAATGACGCATATTAGAATCGGTTTGAATTATATTATATATAGTTTATACGTATGCGTTGCGAAGAACTAACATATTGTGTTTTAAAAGATTGCTATTGGATTTTCAACGAGAAACGATTGTATACATTATGCTTAATTTATTTAAATTATCTGTACACAATACCGATGGATGGTATTTACATACGATCGTAGAAAAATTCGTATCGCATAATTATTAGAAACCATGTGTTTAAGCGTAAACGTTGTATTATTACTTGTATAATATATACCATTAAGTTTTTTCCACACGTTTTTATGTTTATTGAATTATTACGCACAGCAATATATTATAATAACATGGCGTTGGTGTAACGTGTACATATTCGGAACCTATGACGAACGTAAACACGAATAACAGCAATTATTTATGTATCCGTGATGGCAAAGACTTCTTTAAAACGTTTAGGAAAATCAAAACGTACTCAAACGGACTAGGTTAGTTTCGTAAAAGTTCGCAGATTCACGTGCCGTATAATAGATGCATTAATTTGAAATATTTTTGCGATGAACGCACAGTAGCTACCTAGACGGTAAGTAGTAACCAGTGGTGTATACAAAAAATATTTTCGGGAGGGGCTAATATGAATAGAGTTAAATTACAACTTCTATCGAAGAATTACTAGCAAGACACAGTAGGTACTTATCTAAATTTAATTTACAGAATGTCCCAAATCGATTTGACGTTGGACGCAAATTCTAAATAAGCATAAAGCACCATTAAAATAATTTTTAAGTTTTTTAAAACATTTCGAGGAGGGGGCTATAACCCACTTGCTCCCCCCCTATATATGCCACTGGTGGTAACTATAATATCAGAGACGGGTAGAGCTGCTGTATACACCTCGTCGTCGTGGGACCCACAATCAGACAGGTTATATATCAGTGATAAATATACGCGCATTAACGCATACGTATTCGATCAGCCATTTCACGAACGGTTTAATATTCAGCGTCGCCGAGCATTAACAGTGCAACGAAGTCGGGTGGTGACCGGTTGTACATGTGATATTCAGGGAAGGTTTTCCGGTCCTTTTGAACGTATTTAACCGTAGCTTGGGAGCATAAAAGAAATGATCTTAACAGAACAAATAAATATAGACCGATTTAGGGGTTATTAAAGTTTAATACAAAATACTAATTACTACGACTATAGATCTCTAGAGCGTGATATGGGATTTGATCAGGGCCGTCTTAGGCTATGCAGGGGCCCATGGGCACCTGGAGCTTAAGGGGCTTTTTATTAAACCAAAAAAAGGTGAGTAAAAACATGAAAGGTTTTTTTGTACGGTGACTTTTGTATAACCCAGAAGATATGAGTTATTAATTTTAAAGAAAAAATCTTTTGGGATAAAGGGATTAAAAAGTAAAATAAACCTAATGCACAATTATTTATTTGACACTAACATCTGCAACATTGCTATTTATCAAAAAAATGTTTTCTGTAATTAAGAATTATTTGTTTATGTTTAAAATTGAAAGTTGTAATTCTTATTATTTGAGGCCCCCAGCCAGATAGGGGCCCTGGGCACTTTCCCTAAGTGCCCATAGGGTAAAGATGGAACTGGGTTTGGCTACATCGGATGGTAGCCGTGGCCGAACCGCCGTCTCTTGC